CGCTTATGCGAATGCGTTATGCAATCAAGTCATACGTGGCTCCAAAAATACATTGGTCGGCAATTACCAAATTTGGTTGTATCGACTCCCTTCGCTCGCTTAATTATGCCGTGGAAATATCTACTTTCCAGCGATAATGGAGAACCAACGATACGATTCAGTTCTCTCGGAACAATCGTATGCCCTTCGCGATCTTTTTTCTTTGAAAACCAAATCGAGAAATTAACAGGTTTGTACTTTCTTGTTAAACTAGATTACACATTTTGTTTTTAAAATAAAATAAATATATTTAGTGTTGGAGGGAAAGGAAGAGAGAACAAAGTTTCAGTGCAGCACTAGGTCAACTGAAAAACATAGACCTCAAATCAAACTAGTTCTGGCGAGAATAAGATAAATCTGTTGGCACATCTCTTGTCACGTAATTTCATTAAAAAGTTAATCGCGCAATCGTTCGCGCATTGCGATCGTAGTTATGAAAACCGCAAACGACGGTAAATTATAAATCCGAGTATTGCATTCCGAGAGGCCTTCGGAAAACGTCCTTGTGACGCAACGTTCGCGAAACAATCATTAGCGGCGCGTTTGAGCGCAAAGTCTAGCGGTGACGGCGACGCATATGTAGCAGAAATACCGTTACGCTCCGATAATAATCGCGCCAGGTGTTTCGATACAACGAGTAATTTCGACCTCCAAATTTCCGCGTTCAGGTGAGCCATTTGCAATCATCATTTTCACGGTTTACGTCTTTCGTAAATAACGTTGTCCCCAATGTGAAATGCAGCAATCATTACGTTATTTGCAAATTTCATACGCTCAGGCGGGCGTGAAAAGACGTTTTCTCTTTGTAAATGTGTCATCAAATAACTATTAAGCGTGCGTATATTAAATATATTTTTCGAGAATCTTTTGGTTTTAAATATAGATCCTTACATTCACAAGAAAACTCTCCTGCAGAATTATTGAAATTTTATTTAATCTTTCTATCTCGATGATTCAAAGAGTCTATTAGAAATTTATAAAATGTATGATACATTGCGCTGCTGAATATTTCCTTGATGTGTATAAGTTTCGTGCGAAAGAAAGGGAATAATATGATCTTCAATTTAAATTCGTGCTACCCTCGTATACATACCTGATATTCGTCTGATTATTATTTCCTTACCGTCGTTCAATCGGCGCGAAAAGATAGATTTTGCGTAAACATGGTGAACTTGAATGATGCGGTATTCGTATATACATAGTGCAAGTTAATATTTCAGTACGAAAATTTGCCATTTTTAGCGTCTCCATGCACGCGCGATGCTTAAGGAATATATATATATATATATATATATATATATATATATATATATATATATATATAGACACGCAGTATGTTATTCGCCGCGCCTAAAATTCAAATACGACTGTTGAACTTCGGAACAATGATCACGTAATTTTCAATCGGTTGCCATTTCGTAATTTCAAGCACAATAGGTTAACCGAAATAGGTTAAACAAGATCGAATTCACCAGTCGTGTCACAAGTTATACGGTCATCGAGTACCGTTTCATCAAAAGCCATTGTCATTTAAATATAAATAAATAAATAAATAAATAAATAAATATATATATATATATATATATATATATATATATCATCTCACCTGAGTCAAGAGCGGCGTCGTGCTCGATGTGTGTACCCACGTAAACGTCGTTGACAGCCGGTCCGGTCGTTCATACGAATCACAGGTCCGCAGTAGCGTGCCGTGACAAAAAGCCGCACTTTTCACGATATTCAAGTAAACGCGAACCGTAAGATGCAGAACTATTCGCTTTAAGTGTGTATTCGTGCGACACGACGCAAACCACTGTGCGTATTACAACGTGAAAGTAAACGGCATGATCGCGCGTTATATTCGAACCGGCGGCGACGAGCGGCGAGCGACGACTGCGTAGCGCTCCGTGCGGCCGTAATAGCGCGTGCGCGCGCACGGCTCGCAGGCAATAAAGAGGGGAAACGCGACTACAAAACCACAGTCGCTGTAAAAAAAAAAGCTGTATTTACAAGGATCTAAAAAAGAATGGCTTCTTACGTATAAATACCTTGAAACGGAGAGAGTCCCAACATTTTTCAATTCTCATATGAAATTACGTAATACTATTACCAGAGAGAAGCCTAAGAGCGGCCACCAGCTTGATTTTAGTGGCTAGAGCTAGGCGCATTTTCGAGACGCCATCTAACAAAGTGCGTCTTTACTACATTCGTTTGGCACATTTCGTGGTGGTAACGATAAAATGCGCCTGGTTCGTGCCTGTTGTACTTCCGTACCACATACAGGGTGTTAGTTAAGTATGTTGCTATATTCAACAAAGTGATTCTTTGGTTTATTTCAAGTAAAAAAGTTCATATAAACATGTGTCCTAAACGACTTAGTTTCCGAAATACAGGTGAATTTTCGCAAATGTTTGACGAAACGGTAAATTGCGTTGGAGATATCTTCCTGCATAAATATGCTTTGCTTCCCCTGATAGCCAAACCTGCGCGAACAGATTTCGAGCAGAACTTGCTATCAACTTTTGATGGCAAATAGATAACAAATTTGATGCAGGATCTGTTATATCAAATCTTGCTGTCAAATTGCCGTCAGATATGCAGCAGAGCTTGTTGTCGGATAATTGCTGCAGATTTGCAGCAAAAACCGCGCAGAGCTTGTAGCGATTTGACAGCAGATTGGCGGCAGAAACCGCGCAGACGTTGCTGCGCTGCAAGCTTTGCGTGGTTTTTGCTACAAATTTGGCACCAATTGCCCGACAGCAAGATCTATCGCCAAAACCGTAGTCTAATGTAGACACAGATGGCTATGGTTTTGCTGTGGGTTTTTGATCAAATTTGCTGCCAATCTGCGCGCAGTCTACATTCAATTTGTTTACTGGATTCACGTGAGTTACCATTCGCACGATCGTACCATTCGCACAAAGTGACAAAGTCAAAGTCATAAAATCAAAAATAGACTTTAGTTCTGATGTTGCTGCGGGTCGGTTAGCTTGTGCATACGTTTTCGGGCCAAATTGTTTCAGTCCATCAAAATCGATTTTATCATGTTTAAGTTTACAAATTTTGAAATGGCAAATATGCACTTTGCCTACGGTCTTGCAAATGGTAACTCACGTGAGGCAAGGCGTATTTATGCAGAAAGATATTCCCAACGCAATTTACCATGTCGTAAAACATTTGCGAATATTCACCGCTATCTTCGAGAAAAGGGTTCTTTTGTAAGGAACACTGTTGATCTTGGAACGCCTATGACAGTTAGAATACCAGTATTAGAGGAAGCTGTTCTAACCGAAACAGATTATTATTATACGTTTAAATTTTTTTATTTCGGAAACTAAGCGTTTAGGACACATGTTTATATAAACTTTTTTACTTGAAATAAATCAAAGAATCACTCTGTTGAGTATGGCAACATACTTAACTAACACCCTATATGTAATATTATTATATGAACGGAGAAATTTTTCTATAAGCGAGAGTGAACCAAACATTGAAGGATAAAAGATAGACGGTTATTGGCTCTATAGAAGAGTTCTGTGATCGTAATGCGTAAACGCGGCGACAAAATGTAAACAGATTTATTAAAGAAACTGACTAATTGATAATTAATAAGAAAAGTAAATATGGAAAGTATCTATAATGGTCTACAATTTATATAATTTATATAAGAGTATAATATATGTACTGTTATTGTGCACAGACCATGGTGAAGAGGCAAATGTCACGCATGCGCTTTAGACAGATAGAACACTGATATTGAACAGATAAGGATAAACGAGCATTGTCTGCACCGTAGTGTTGCGGTACCCCTGAGAGCTGCGCTGTTCATATATTAATATTACACATATGTTCCGTACAATGACAGTAAGTTAGAAAAGGACAGACGTCCAATCACTCTGTTCTTGTCTCACCGTTGATGCGCAAACCGCGCGATTTTTAGACACGAAGCAAGCTGTTTTTGCGGATAACAACTCCGCAATACTTTTGCGAAGACAATTTCGCAATGATTTTGCGGATAACAACTCCGCAATATTTCTACGAAATTCGTTCGCAACCTTTCCGCACATACGATTCGGTGAAATTCGCAAACCTATCAAATTAATAATCGCGAACGTGAGCGAATGAAAAATCAAAAATTATGAAAATTGTGATGATAAAGATAAAGATTCTATTCAAAACTCACGCGAAGAAAATGTTATCGCGTAAGACGTTTGTCTTCGTTCGATGAAACTTGTCAAGCGCCGCATAAGTGAACAAACAACTGCTCACATATCTAATTTGTATACATCGCGTTTTTCTAGAGGGATCAACGCTCGCTAGCATTGTCTCTATTGAATTCTGCGTTAGGAAACTCTAACTCTAAGTGAAAAATTGAAACCTGAAAATTTTCTAATGATCGTGAAATTAATTTTGCGAGCAGTTTATATAATCACTTAGATCGCTTCGCGTAAGTGTCGCACGATATCGAATTTTACTTAATAACAAAGCACAAACTCTACTTTATGAAATATAATCGCGATTTAAGCTCACGCGAGAGAAAAAATTGAGAAAATTAATGACCGGAAAATCTATGACGCGAGTGATGTGATTGCGCATTTTGTGGCGCAATCTCTTTGCGCGTTGGCGCACTACTCGAGACATCTCGAAGATCGCATTCAATAAAACTGTATAATTTTACAAAATTTTGAATGTTTAGAGCGTATACTCAATACTTTAAGCGTCTACCAGATAGTGTTGGAATTTGATTAATCAAAATTTCCTCCAACAAAAATCGTCGACCAATCAATAATCTAAGTTAATCAATTAATAAATATATATACATTGGGAGAAAACTATTTCAAAATTTATTTGCCAAATTTATGTAAAATATGCATTATCACTAATATTATTTGAAAAAGCGATCTTCCAATTGTTTCGAGCAGTGTAATTTTTATTGGACGGTACATACACATACTACAACTACAGCAAAGTAAATCGTATTTATTCGATAAACATATTCTACATTGAAAGACTTTTTGTCTGTTTATTATCAATATGTTTCTTATTTTGACTCACCAAACCGCCAATCAAGGTAGCCACATTCAGCTTTCGTTTCTGAAACAGAAAAATGCCATTTCGCCGATTAGATTCGTACATTGATGTCGATTTGAGTGAAGAAGTTTGAATGATTAAAAAAAAGTAAGCGCGATATTTTTTATGCTAGAAGAATATTTCGGAATGTATTCACACTTGGAATATTCCACTTTCCTTTTTTTCGACGTTGCAAATAAATCTCTTAATTAGAACAAATCAAAATTTTTCAAGTGGTGATATTATTCAGAAAATATTTTTCCCGCGTGTAATTACGATTTAACGCGATCTTTGATTCGATTTAAATTATCTCGATTTCGAGCAAGAGAATTATCAATCTTGTCAGATTTCTAATTACAAATGTTAATTAATAAAGCTTACCTTCGAGCTAACCCCACTCGGCTCGAGCCAGATCCTCTGGCGCAGTAGCCTCTAAGAGTCGGCTGGTCGTCTGTTTCACCTCTGCAACAGAAAGCAAATTTAATTTAGTATTAGACACTATAATGGAGGCACTAAAGAACTCGATTTCAAACAAGAGAATTTCCAGTTTTATCGGATTTATCGAAATTATGAATTCAAATCAGTGAAACTCACCTTCGCGCCAACTCTGCCAGGCTCGAGCCGGATTCTCTGACGCAGCAAAGACGCATTCTCTGATCTCGTTAAAGTCGAGTTCTCGTTTCTGCAACGAAAAACGGATTTAATTGACTATTAATTAGTTACACAACGATGGAGGCATTAAGGAACTCGATTCCAAACAAGAAAATTTTCAGTTTTGTCAGATTTTTAATTATAAGTACAAATAAGTGAAGCTCACCTTCAAGCTGATTCAAAAAGGCACGAGCCAAATCTTCCAGCGCGGCATCACTTAGGCATCGCATCCCCTAAAGCCGCGTGACTGTGTCTGCTCTATTGGATCTCTGTGACATAAATTTAATTTAATTTAGCAATTTAATAATTTAGTATCAATTAGTTACACGCGACAACAAAATAAGAAAAAGAAATTGTCGTAATGTCACGTTCGGGTTTCTTCCCAATGCGCAATAAGAAATAATTAAATAGCTGAATAAAGAAGCAATAATACCCGGGTAATTAATGGATGATGATATTAATATCTGATCGACAACCGTATAATAATATCCTGTAGTATCAATTATTAATTACACACGACAGCAAGACGAGTTAAGGAAATCGTCATAACGGCACGCTCGAGTTGCTTCCTAATACATAATAAAAATAATTAAATGACAACCGAATAAAGAAGTAATAATATTCGAATATTAAATGATAGTGATAATAATATCTGTTCGACAATCGTGTGATAATATCTGAGAATAGATAATAACGAAATAATGATAATCGAATAATCGGTATAACAATACCTGGACGACAGCTCTAACAAAAACTCTAGGCTCCACAAAGGCTAGGGAAACGTATCGTCGTAAGCAGCTCGTGTCGCTGACTGAGCGGCGCTTGGGGGAGCGCGCGGCCGGGTCATGTAAACACGCGTGCGCGAGCACGTGCTCGAGCGTCACGCCATAACACTCTCAACCGTCGAGATGCACGTCGGAAGCTGCCGATGATCTAGTTTTGCGCTAGCTCGCATCGTGCCTACGTAGCGCGGTCCGCTCATCAGTGATGAGACAATAGAACGATTGGACGTCTGTCCTTTTCTAACTTACTATCATTGTACGGAATATGGACGTAGGAATATTTGGACGGAGTGTAAAATATTTTTATGGGTGCGAGGTGTGAAACCAGCGCGGTGAGAGGAAATCTTCGTCGCGGTCATCTTTGGTGATCAAAAGTGACACACACACACACACACACACACACACACACACACACACACACACACACACATATATATATATATATGAGATATGTGTATACATAGATCGAAGATTTTAACCTTTGTGGTGAAAGATCCTTATGGATAGGACTATATATTTCGTAGTAGATGTCGGGTTGTTACGCGAAACATTGTAAAAGCCAGAGAACCGAGAAACCAGAAAAATAAAAAACAATTAGAATAGGAACATAAAAATGGTAAGAATATCATTTTACAGGTATGTTTTAATATAACAGACAGTTGCAAGTCAGGGTAAAACTTGATATTCACACACACTCATACACACATTCATATATTCACATACATATTCATTTTGTACATTTTCCAATACACTATATCAAGACATTGCTCCGTGATATAGACCGCCGCCATATTTTGATTACTTCCGACTTTCATTCTTCTCACCCCTGTGGCTTCACTCCCCGCGAAATACATTCCGTCCAGATATTTCTACGTCCATGATACGGAAGTACAATTAAGGTGACCAGACGGGGTATATATCAGTTGGACACGGGGCAATTGGACACAGTCCAATCACAAGTCGCTGTTCCAAGGGACCCTACAAATGTTTCTAATCACACGATGCTGTGATTGGTTGTATCCAAATGCACCGTGTCCAAGTGCACCGCTCCCGACCAGAAGTCCCGATTTTTCACTCTTTGTCCTGAATTTTTTCGAGTACTATTCGGGACATCGATTTGTCATCATTTTCAATAATTGTCAAATAATTTTCGAATCTTTTTATCCCCCTTCCCCCGCTCCACATATTTATGAAGTGTCCCGAATTGGGAGCGGTGCACTTGGACACGGTGCATTTGGACACAGCCAATCACAGCACCGTGTGATTAGAGACATTTGTAGGGTCCATTGGAACAGCGACTTGTGATTGGACTGTATCCAATTGCCCCGTGTCCAACTGATATACTCCCTATATGAACGACGCCGCGACCAAAAAGAACGCGCTCTATGAGATACTTCTCTCTCCGTATCTTTTCCTAACAGCTGACGCAACCGCCCGAATATTCCGCATCTCTCTCTCTCTCTCTCTCTCTCTCTCTCTCTCTCTCTCTTTCTCTCTGATTGTCATCGCATTTCTAATTCTCGTTCAATAAATCCGACGATCGCCCGATTCTATTGCTACTTGAGCGAGTCCATGTTATTAGCAAATATAAGGGACGTCGGCGCAACAAGCACCGACCGCGAAGAGAAACGAGAAGATTACTTACGAATGACGTTTTCATGATACGCCCCGGCGATCGTACATCACTATTCTCGACACTCCCGAGATTTATTAACGTGCAAGACTTACTTTCGACGAATAAAAGACGCGAGAAACGCGGAGCAATGTTGATCGATGTGTGCCTATAGCTGCTGCTTGGTACGAAAAGATCGAGCATTTCGCGCAATTCATTACCAACAGCTAGATGGAAGCATGATGACAACCTCGTATTGCGAAACGAACGCGATTGGTTAAAACGTCCGCCGTACAGATCGCGTCGTTGTAGACGCGACCTCGTTCGCATCACTGGCGCGTTCACATTCATGCACGTTTAGCACTTTCGGCACGCTAATGAACTTTTGGTGTACATGCGTGATTGACAGCGCGCGCGTCTACGATCTTTTCATGCCGAGCAACTGCCATGAACACAACGCTCTGTATTACATACGTCTTTCGTTTGTGTCCTGTGAATCTCCTGCGGAAATAAGTATTAGAGTGCCGAAAACAACGACATACGGTCGTCAGGACATATCGTAAGTACATTATTACGGAGTAATCTTCTCTCTTCTCGACACATGCAGCCAAGGTGACCAGACGTCCCGATTTTTTACCCTTTATCCCGAATTTTTTCGAGTGCTATTCGGGACACCGATTTGTCATCATTTTCAATTATTGTCAAATAATTTTCGGATCTTTTTATCCCCCTTCCCCCGCTTCACACATTTATGAAGTGTCCTGAATTCAGGACTGGGAAATCTGGTCACCTTAGTAGTAATGATCGAAGAGGTAGTACAGATCGGAGAAAAATCGATATGGGTAGTACAGCAACGGAGAGAAACAATTTTGAAACACGTTGGATTTGAAATTTAGCAATTATATTTTCCAATATAATTATAATAATAAGCTTCGTGTGGCAGTACATTAAATATAAATATTTGCGGGTGCTTCTCTTATGACGACGTGTGGTCATCATTTAATAATCGTAAATGTAAGGTAATAAAGTAGAAACTCTTATGCTCTCTCGAGCATTGCGCGTATTGATACGATCGATTGTGCACGATTAACACGCGTGTATAATTTATCGATCTCTTCTTTATATCACTGCTGGCAAAAATACTTCATGTCGACTAATCCAGTCAATCAAAATCTCAAATAATTCAAACACGAACTTTCTACCGTAAATTGTATATAGCAAATAATTTTACAAACACGAGGGGAAAAAAGACAATTATATATTTTTTATGCGTTCACCAAATACGTTTTACGCATTAGAAATAATACGATCAATTTTATATATAAAATCGTGATTATATATAGTCAATATTGTGATAGATAGTGAAAAATATATTTTGCAAGTGGCTTCGCGAGAATCACGAAAATCAATCAATCAATTTGAGATTTGTACAGATTTGATTAGAAGTAAATTTTCTTAGAAGTAAATAATCTGACGAGATTAACATTGCTAAAACGTGTGGCATAAGTGGCATTTGCCTTTTAATTCATTCTCGCGATTTGCAAAACCGAGAAACAGATACAACTAATTTACAGAGACAGAATAAAATTGCCTTATCTATGTAACGTTTGCTTTCACATGCGCGAATACTATATCTATATATTTATACTTGTATAATATAATATAGATGATATAATATAAATATCTAGTTAATGCATTTCAATATTTGGCGTGAATCACGTTTGAAACCTATCGTAGTCGCGCGAATCGGTATACTTTGTTATGATATTAAGGATATATTAAAACAACAGAACAAGAACAGAAAGTACTTACTAGCATTGGTATAAATTCTAAAAATAAATCCTAAAAATCGGAATCCCGCGGCAAACGCGAGCGCATAAACGAACGTACGAGCGAAAAAATCACAGTAACACTGCTATTTTTATCGTTTTATGAGTAATCGAATCCTATGTCGTTACGATTATGTACACAATTTGTCGATATACATCGCATACGACCGCGTTACAGAAATTGTCGGAAAACTGCTGCAGGATTGGCCATAAATTAGCGACGACCGAGCAACAAAGGGCGCGACGTGTCTCACAATTTTCTGTATTGATAAAGTCGAGTCAAGAGAATCGAATTTTTTTATTTTCAATTAGCCAAATTTTTAACTCAAAATCTTCTCTGTTATTTATGATATTTAACTTTCTACAAATCTTATATTATATGTGTATTTGTATATATTATATAAATTTTCCTTTCTCTGGATGGAGCTTGGATAGAAAACGTTGAAGAGTTAAAACTTAAATGTAAGAAATTATGAGCACGATGTTGAGATAAAAATATTTCAATAAATATAGCTTTCTTGCACATCTGTTATGTTGATCATTATTCCTTGGTTTGAAGAAAATTAAAAAATGGAAAAGGTTCTTAATTAAATAAATCACTATGCACTTCTATAATTGATATATCGTATGTATCTCACTAAAAATTTTAATTGCACCAATACGATTGCATTCCCCTTGACTTGACAGAGTTGACGCTCGGTTCTTGTCTTCATCTTACAAACATCTATAAAAATAATTTTAATAAGTCATTTCTCTTTCTTTCTCTGTCTGTCTTCCCATACGCAGAGCGTGTTCTTCTTTGTTAGTTTCTATCGTCGTCTTTTATTGCTTGTACGATCTCGCGATTCAACGGCACCTTTACAAAAATAATCGTTTTCTCGCCCTTTCTTGAGCAAATTTAATTATGCACTGCACACTTATCTCGGGCGTCTCAGAATTGTACGATTTGTCGCCCTTTGTCTCTCGTTAAGAAAATTCTCACGTTCTTTGTAAAACTCCAATCACTAATCGCTAATTACTATTTGCTAATCGCCAATTGTTAATCGCTCGCACCTTCTCGAAAATCAAATTTAACCCTCTCAATCATTATTTGAAACCTCTCGGTCCTACATTCTACTATCTGAGGAAATTTTTAGTCTAAATAGCAATCCTTCCGTCTAAAATTGCAAAATCTACTTCTACTTGGAACAAATTTCTTTCGTATTAAAATGTGTGGAAACAAAATAAATAAATAACTGTAAGCTCTAAAGATCCTCCGTATAATATTTGTGAGCTCATTTCCAAATCATCTTAATAAGCCAACTTAACAAGGAATATAAAGTATATATATGTGTGTGTATGTGTGTGAAATAAAAGTATACGTGTTACAAATGAATCCACACACACACACACACACATATTATACTGTTAAATTTATGTTTCTTTTTCAAGTACGGATTCGAGATGATTTAAGAATAAGCTCTTGAATTGTGCTTTTTTGTACATCAACACGCGTTCTGTTAAAACTTGTTTCGCGTCACGGAGCCGAAAGGGTCGATCGAATACTCTTCCATTTACTCGCGTTTCATCTACATCTAGACTTACGTAGACATCCGATACAAAATAACCTACATAAATGCATTTGGCATGTTTTGTTCTTATTTCGAAGCTCGCCCGATTGTTCGAATCTCGATCGTCATCACTTGTATTTAACTTACTCTTTACAGTGCCGTCATGATTCTAGGACGATTCGGTTCTATCAACGTCAATTAACGCTAAACCGCGATCGACTATACTTTTATTATTCTAATTCTAAACTAGCATCTGTCTCTCTAGAAAAGGACGAATTGCAACCAGTATTAATTGCTAAAAGATCCTTCCGATTAACACTCCGGAAATTAATACTGAAATAGTACAATTTTCGCACAACTTTTAACCTGGTACCATCATGTCCATTGAAAACGCATTCTGCGATTAACCATCTTTGGTCTTCCTCGGATATTCAGTTGCAAATGCAACAGGAATTCTATGAAAATACATATAGTTAAAAGAAAGGTTTCGCGTGTTGAGTATAATCTACGTATTAATTTTAAAACATCGGGACTGGAGAGAATCTAAAATCCGAAGAAATTTAAATAAGTTTAATGCAGGTGTGGTTTCTTAAGAATCAAGTAGATTTCCACCACACAATATTTCCTTTCCTTCCTCCTGCGTTGTGTTATGTCAGCATCGCTTCCTTCGTGCTCACCATAACATCTACGCGGGCTTCCATCTGCAATCTATGAGAACCATGTAACGCAACACATTTCTCCAACGCGCATACAAAATGATGAGGATCTTTCAAGGTCTTCAAACGCACGATGCTTGGACTTGCGCGAACGCGTGGGCTTGCATTCTCGGTCGTTTCAAGTGCTTAATTACACCTTTGGACTCTATCGTTCTCGCCCAATAGATAATTCTGTCCGCAGTGGCAATTAAAGTTCGGCACAGCTTTGTCTGCTGACCGTGTCATCACTTTGTCCTGCTCGTGATTAAGCTCGCGTTTACCACATTCGGCCGCACGTGAACATTCTGTCGGTTAGATTTGCTTCTGCTAGCGATCGTCGAAGCATCCGCTACTGACCTGCGGCTCCTCTCCGCCTCTTCGTCTTTGCTCTTGTTCGTTTCCATTGACTTGTTGGCACGAGCCGTCGATTTGCACGGGATCCTGCCAGTCCTGGTATCCGTCTCGAGATAGGTTTTCCTCAACGGTTGCGGTGTATAGTACAAACTGAACCGCTTCGTTTTAGTCGCCATCGGTTTCTGGCGTTCGGCAGTGCCTTCTCTCAGCTCGTCCGTAGAATTAAATTTGCGCGTCACTACTTTGTCATCGCCGACCGCTTCTTCCTCGGCCGACGACTTCTTGGCGGTGCACGGTGAAAAGCAGCTGTATCTCTTATTCTTGCTCGTGTGTTTCGAGTCTACCTGACCTTTTTTACCGATGTATCTCTCGTACCGCAACTTGACCGGCTCGTTCCTCGTACATTTATTCGTCTCTTGAATTCTTGGACTGCCGCTGCTGCAAGTCTTCCCCTCGGCTTGATTGTCCAGCTTAACTGATCTCGAGGTCGAGTTGAGAGCGGCGATACGAGTCTGCGGCAGAGATTTGGTAGCAGACTTCCGCACCCGATGACTACCATGTGCCGTGTGTTTCGAAGGGATTTGCGGAGAAGAATCATCCGGGAGACGACCGTTGTCATTAGTGTCGGCTACGTAGCGGAAGCTCACGTTCTCGAAGCTGTCGGTCGACTCCATACTCTGCGTCGAGCTGGACTTTCGACCGCGCGCCAATCGCGCAAACTGGATATTCACGAAGCTATCGGAGGTTTCGATGTCGTTACCGCCGGTCGAACTATGGGACAGGCTGCTTTCGCTGGATGTCGACACGACAGCGGTCGACACATTGCTGTTGCGAAAGTCGTCACTGTCGAATAGGTTCCTCCGGTTACATATCCTTCCGTTGCTATCGAGGGTGCGCTTGGACGACAATTTTGGCGTCTCGCAATGAATATCAATGTCCAAGTACTTGGCGGCCTTTGGTGTATTTCCGTTCTTCTTGTCGCCTCGACAGTTTCTGGGAGTTGCCGGAAGATTCTCGGCAATCTTTTCGTCGCAATGTATCGACGAATTGCTGTTATAGTTGCACGTGGTCGTTGTTAGCCTCGAATCGTTTTGTAACGACGATGAATTAAGATTCTCCGGAATGCTGTTGAGTGACGATGCGGCGCTGCGCGATGTCAAACGACATCGCGAGGTTTTATCCTCGTTCAGATTCAAGTTCAGATTGTTTATTAGGTCATGCATCGAGCGGCTAAGGCTGTGCATATCCTGAAGGAATGCCGAATCACCGTTATCGTTGTCGTCGTCATCGTCGTCATCATCGTCGTCATCGTTGTTGCTGCCAAGCTCTTCCTTCTCCTCCTCTTCCCTGCGATTACCATTGGCAAAATCAATCTCGTCGCAGTCTCGTCGCTCCTTTGGCGATCCTTCCCGGAGCTCGATACGCTTGACAGGAGGAGCATCAACTAACTTCCATTCGGTTCTCGCGCTCGTCCTGGCAGCTTCTGTGTTCGGCGAGTCCTGTCGGTTGCCGCGCTGCTTCTTGAAATCGAATTCAAAGGTCGCCAGCCTTATCGGCTTACGCTGCTGATCCCAGTGTTGCTTCGCCGTGCCGGTGGGTGCTGCTGATGCTGGGGTCTGCTCGCCTCCTAGAAAGCTCTGCTGATATACAGAGGCGGGGCAAAAGAAAAGAAAAAGCACTGCTACAGATACAGCAAACCACTACGAAAGCTTTCTTTAGTCTGTAATCAAAGCTGACGAAGCGCGATGGGAGAGGCGTTGTTTCCGCTCGATCACGACGTTACGGAAACTCCATCCAGCGAGCAAAGCGTAGGAAACGTCGACGACAAACTTTGTTGGAAACAATCAAGTTTGATAACGCAATCTTAGGTTGCATTCCAAAACATCTTTTTCGAGGAAAATTTTACTTTTAAATCTATAGTTCATGTTACATACGCTATAGACTTAAGAGTAAAATTTTCCTCGGAAAGGACGTTTTGGAATGCAACCTCAATCAATGAAATGTGGTCGATAAATGTGACGTTAAAGTCGTGATCGATGTATCGACATTCCAAACGCTATACCTACTAGAGCCCTTTTCCGTATAGCGTGCCCAAAATAATAAATTCGACAGCGAACGTGTGACGTGGAGACGAGCGAAAAAAAGAAAGAAAAGAAAATCGATATTAATCGCGCATTGTTTCGTCTTGGTTACGTCTTGGAATGGGTAGGTGGGTAAGTGAATAAATGAATGACTGACTAAGTGAATAAGAGTGAAAGAAAGAAAAAGGAGTCAAGCCATGCTGGGTTGTGGTGAGACCAGGATGCGGGAAAACCTTCTAACTTATGGTATAGTAATCGTATGTTATCAGTGACAGTTACCGCGAGCCACGGATGATCTAGCACGTCTTCGGCACTGAAACGAAGTTCGGGTTGCGCCTGCAGCATGTTTGAGATGAGCTGTTTCGCAGAGTCGGATATCGCGTCCCAATACGGCGATGTAAACTCGTATTGTCCGCTTAGAATACGTTCAAACAATTCTTCCTGTTCGTTCTCTGGCGATACGAACGGCGGGAAACCGCACAAAAGAATATACAGAATCACTCCAGCAGCCCACACGTCGATCTGAAAGGCGCACAGACGAAAGAGAATCGATTTAATAAAAAGAACTGCTGTGTCGATGTTGCCTTCAATTCATCATAACGAGACCCATCGTGTACCTTCAAGCCGTATCCAGTTTCTGCGAGAATTTCCGGGGCTACGTAGGTCGGTGTACCACAGACTGTGTACAGTGGTTCTCGAACTACCTGCGCGAGTCCGAAATCACCCAATTTCAAGCACCTGACATGACTGCCATCCATTTCGACTAAAAGGTTTTCCGGCTTTACGTCACGATGCACAATATGGTGCGAATGTAAATAAGCCAGAGCGGATGTCAGATGGCTGATCATCACACTGGCCTCCGCTTCGGAGAATTTCGTCGCGGCTGCGATCGCATCGAACAAATCTCCTCCCTGCGAAATGAGAAAAAATTTGAATCGCTATAAATTTTATCTATACATTTCTCACTTTGATACATAGAGAATGTTGCAGTAGCTGCGACGACGCACCTTTACAAGTTCCATCACTAAGAACAGCTGATTAGTAGTTTCCTGCTCCGCGATCAAACTGATTATGTTTGGATGGCAAACTTGTCTCAAGATCGCTACCTCGCTCGCCAACATCTCCTTGCCTTGACATCTGTACATGTCTACAATTTTTACAGCATATTCTGCACCGGTAGACCTGAAAGTAACATCGATACGTTTCTCTCAACTCGATTGCTCGTTATCCAAGCTTTGAATAACGGTACTTAATTTGTCATCATGACAAACAATTTGTTTGTTGCACTACAGCAAGTTGACTTGGTCTACTCACTTGTGAATGCAATGCCTAACGACGGCAAAGTTCCCCTCGCCGATGATGTGACCCACGGCGTAATGCAGCCTTAACGGCTGTGGCAGTATCGAAGAGGATGGACTGGGAGTTCTGACTTGCGGTGTGGTGAGCGTCTTCTTGCCGGACTTTCTTGGCATTCTAGGCATCGGACCACTTTGACGCTTGGAACTCCAGAGACATCGTCGGAAACTCTGCACGTATTTAGTTTCCTCAAAGTCTAGCTCGAAATCCTCCTGGGCGGATTTTTCCGGGCCGTACGCCACAAAAATGTCGTCGTTCTGAAAGAACTGCTCGAGCGAGGTGACCTGCTGACCCGACAGCGTATAAACTTTCCTCACCGCGCCGGAGTCGAGCTTCACCGCCTCCGTGATGGCCTCCATCGCGTGCTCGAGACTAGGAGCGTTGCGTTTGTTGAGTAGCAATCTTAGGACCTTACGCGGCTTGGTGCCGTGGCGAATCAGCGTGACGATGCGCGCTTTGACGCACAACGGGATCGCGCTGGTCTGTCTGCCGGTGACGGTGGTGGTGGCGGTGCCACCGCTGCCAGTGCCAGTAGCCGCCGGGGACTGTGGCAGTCCCGACAGGGAACTGCCGCGTCTGACTTTGGACGATGAGTACTCCACTTTCTTGAAGATCTCACCTTGACCAGATACCACGTAACACTTGCCGTCTTCTAAATCGCTCACGCTCTGCACTTTGCGACCGTCCATCGTGTAAATAGCGCGAACGCCGTTTGGCAGAGTCACGCTCGATACCAAGGCGCGCGTCAGATCAGACGCGAGACTGTCGAAACTGCGATATCGTTCTGGCGTCACTGCCATCACCACGCCGGTGTAATATTTGTCACCGTTGCGGAAGAAACGGACGCGTTTGGCCTTTTTGGTCAACGGTGTTCGGAGGACGTTCAAAGTGTGTCGCGATGTGACGTCCAGTATTCTCTCATCTAAGCTGACTATGGTACTGGACGAATTGAGATCACCACCACTCCCATCACCACCGCCAACTGTTGAGAAGTTGCCATCGCTGGAAGGTGAAGCGCCTTGGCTCAATGGTTCTTCCATCATTCTATAAGAATGTGTGCTTCTTACTATATAAATATATACTTATTTATCATTTAATATCTGATTCTCTTATGTAAATTGAATGCAAGCCAACCTAGGAGAAGAAGGAAAAGAAGGAAAAGGAGGATCAGTTATCGCAACTAATCATTACACTTTGCTTGAGTCTTCACAAATTGTACACATTTAGATACAGTGTACATATAGCAGTCTTACTCCAGCAAGTGACACTTTTCTCCAACAGATTCTATGATTAAAAAAATATGTATACATATATGTGTGTAATATCAATTACATACTATACTTTTTTTAAAATTTACCAATGCACCCGTACCATAGAGCATTATCGTACAGACTCGTGCCGTTACACAACTATATAAACGGATCTTTGTAATTGTATTCTGACTTTTTTTTTATCCTTTCTCCGAGGCGGTATGAGTCACGCTTTAGAAAGTACACTCGACAGATGCAGTTGAAATGAAATTTTACCTGAATATTGAACAGAATCGTGCAGCGACTAACGAGAAACACTGATCCAGGACGCATTGGCGGTAACGAGGTTGCAAGCGTAAAAAAAGGAGAGGGAGAGAAAGAAGTGACATGTCGACAACGAGAACAGAATGTTTAACCTGACCCACGGATCGCAGCAATTTGCACTCACTCGCTCATCTGCTTCCAAGTCGAGCAAAACCAAGTTCGTCGATCGCGTCTTTCGGTGGGACGGGATGGAACGAACGGACAGTGTGAATCACCACCAGCAACGAGTTAACATCTTCGCTCTCTCGACGTCTTCAGCCTGCCACTACCGAACTACTGCCAGCGGTGGTGGGAACGCGCGGAGGGACGCGAAGCTCACCGGGTGCGGCCGAGTACCATGTGCGATGAACCGATGAATGTGAACGTTGCACTGACGAGTCAATCTCTGACTGCCATTTCGTTAAAGGAGCAGGAGTATTTTTTCTTTCCAGTCTTTCAAAAAATTCAATCAATTGTATTTTCGAAAGCTTATCCTACTCTCCTGCGTTATGTAACGGATTGACTTGTTTTTTAACTTGTCCGGTTCGTCGTTGAGTCGTACTACTTAGAAACGAAGGTCTCCTTTTTACCGTTCTGCAGTTTATATGCGGCACTACTAGATGCCGCCACCTGCAGTATAATTCTTCAAGTTTCTCATCTTCAGATATCGTACGGATCATTTTATTAGCTACTAATAGCATGTTCGACTGACTCTGGGTTAACCCACTCTGGGTTATTCAGCTTACGTTTATTGGTCAAATAAGTACTTATAAGCTTTATGATTAGCTAGTAGAGACTTATGACGTCATTAATTGCTCTCGGAGCGATTAACCCAGGGCCAGTCGAACACGCTATAAGCATCTGAGGATAAATTTGGGTGCTTTCCAATTGCTTGAAACATCTTGACACACACGTATACAAAACCAGTTTATTGATCACATATTATCTAAAATATTTTGTAAGATAATATGCAACCAATAAACTGGTTTTGTGTAACACAGTGTATGCAACTGGAAAACACCTTTTGAAATGATCTTAAATATAATAACGTGTTCGACTGGCTCTGGGTTATGGCTCCTGCCCACAGGACGCGGCAATAATCTTCTAGCTCTTACGGAAAAACAACATATTGGCTGTCGCGCGGCAAGCATTACCGCGTCCTGTGTGCAGGAGCCATTAATCGCTCCGAGAGCGATTAATGACGTCATAAGTCTCTACTAGCCAATCATAAAGTTTATAAGTACTTGTTCGACCAATAAACATAGGCTGAATAACCCAGAGTGGGTTAACCCAGAGCCAGTCGAACATGCTATAAAATTTGACTATGGGTGTTTTTCAGTTGCGTACATTGTGTTACACAAAACTAGTTTATTGGTTGCATATTATCTTACAAGATATTTTAGATAATATGCGACCAATAAACTTTGTGTACGTATTTTATTGTGTTTTTGTGTACGTATGTGTCAAGATGTGTTAAGCAATTGAAAATCACCCTATAAGTACCGGCCATAATATTACCAACGGGCACTCCCCATTGGCTATTGACCGCTTCGTCGATTGACTGGCTTTCGAAGTGTAACTTTAAAATTTCTGCTACGAGTCGTCCGAGTCGACAAATGAACGTCGTAATACGTATCACATTAATGGCAAGTTCAACGAACCTTTATTGTTAAATGATACGATTCAGTAGTAAGTTGGAGCATATTGTATTTTTATTCAGCAGTACGAAAGAGATTCACACACACGCACATACACATATATATATATATATACGACCAAACAAACTTTTCTTCTTCAGCAACGTTATCTGCCGTTTTAGAAATACATAACGTAACAACGAAAGATCGTTCGATTACCACATTATTTCTGATAACGCAACCCAAGTAGCAAAGTGACATCTAAAGATGTTAATTAGATGTCGTTAAGATGTCATTAAGATGTCATTAAGATGCTTAGTGACGTCTTAACGACGTCTTTGCTACGTCACCTTGCTACTTGGGAATATACGTTCTTTTGTATCCTCTAGCCTGTATATACGCTATTAAATATTATTGCACACAGTTTATTAGAAATTTAATAGTTGAACGAGTAATCATTAACCAATCATCGATATGATAATCTGAGGGATATATAAATCAAAAGTTTCTGATTTTAATAACCTACAACTTGGACGTCGTCTTCTGTCTTTTCCTGTCCTTTCGACATTGCTCATCTGTAGTACGCATTAGCATTGTATTCTGACTTTAGTCTGACTGAGTGTACCAGTCTGCATATGTGTATGTTATAAATAAAATTCCGCAGGGAGAGGTCTGTTATACACACGCACGCGCGCGCACACTTGGCTACCGCGTCTTTTGATACATGGTAATGTTAAATAATAATCATGTAAAATATAAAAGTAAAAATTAATAGAAGTAAAATTGTACACTACGACAATATAAATTTCACGACAAAAATTTCCAAGTCCTCTGGTAGCCGTGATCGTCTAGTGGTTAGGACCCTACGTTGTGGCCGTAGTAACCCAGGTTCGAATCCTGGTCACGGCAATGTCCGACGGTGTCATTGTCACGGCAGAGGTTTTCTTTTTTTTCTCCTCACCGTTTCCCGGCATATTAATTTAGATCACAAGAAATTGAAAAATTTAATTCAAATACCCGCATATAGATATAAAGAAATTGTTTCGTCCAATATTACTTTTTTTTCACTTTTGTATATCTAGTTTACAGAGGTGATTATATTTTATCTCGTAGCATTACAAGCAATAAAAATCGGGAATAAACTACTAGAAAAAATTCTTAAATTAAAAAAAATGTTTATAGGATGTCTTTTGTATGTTTCAACCTAATAAATATAAATAGATATACGTATGAAAATATTGGATACATGTAAACAAGTACCTTCCCAGTAAACATGAAATATTAATAACATAACATCGATGTTATAATGTCCAACACAACTATTTATAACTAATATAACTATTGCACACACGATGTTATGTAACAGTTACATTATTGTATAGGACATTATAACATCGATGTTACGTTACTAACACTTGGTATGCTGGATCGTACGTATAAAGTCGAAGTTATTCTGTATTTTTTACTTTTTGGGATGTTTAGATGTTATTGTTCCAGATAGTAATAATATGAATTAAGGAGACAAATATGATTTACATAATCACACACACATAAAAAAAATGATTAATATATTTTTGCAATAACAAAAATATATTGATATCAATGTTTTTCATTTTAGATGTACACAACGTCAGTTTACATAAAACAGGTTATTCATTCTTGCGACAACTCCGCCAATGCGGTTCGTCTTTACCGACCACTTATGAGTCACGATAGAAATGGAAGAGTGGAGGATGGAGTGGTGCGCGCCATGAGCAACAAACGACAGCAACAGGTTCGTGTCTGACGTAAAAGTAATAATATCTAATATCTCTTATGTGTTTAATATTAAACGAACAAGAGCTGTCCAGTGATGTCTGAGAAATTTTGCGCAAAAGGTTCGTGTATCCTTACCTTGCCTTTTGTAGCCGGCGCGTAAACAGCCAAGTATGCAGGTAACTATGGTCACCAGGTAATACACAGTGCGACACGGCGGGACTGGAGGGAGGAGGGATGGACGAGCGTTCTCCGAACGGTACGACTCGCAGTCTCGTATGGCGCGCGTTCGTTGTCGGTTGTGATCGGCGTAAGCGCGGGTGTAAGAGGTGAAAGAGTGGTTTGGAAGAGAGGAGAGGAGAGGAGAGGAGAGGAGAACAGAACAGAACGTTTTGCGAAGATTCTTTCACGACGGTGTAAACAACAAATCGAAGAAAGGAAAAGAGAGGAGTTTTAGGCGTACAGGATGCCGATTGCGTGAAAGGACGAGGGGGGCACCGTACGGATAACGTGACGGAAAATGCGGCCGCAACACGTCGTGGCAGGTGAGTCAGGCCCCCCTGAGTCAAGTCGCCATCGTTGAGCGTCGTCAGGTCGTGGGCCCTACGAGCGTCAACAAAGTGCACGAAGCCGTGCTTCTCACTTCTACTACGGTAGGCGCGTTGGATCCTTAATAAGAAATAGATTGCAATCGCTCCGAGCTGTAGCATGAGAGGTAATCCCACGACCGCAATCCTTGGAAAATCGTTGAGAATCGAAAAGTGTCAACGATCCACGGAGAATCACGATTTATTCCGTGTGCGAAAAACGTGAAAAGGCGAGTCGTCGATCCAACATTCTACTGTTGATTAGCGACAGATGTTTCTTTCGCACACGGTAGATCTGCGAGATCTACGATCGACCGTGAGAAACTATAGTGAATATCGAGGCGTAATGATGTATAGGAAGTTCAGTCGATGCTACGAGAATCACCATATAACGGTCTTTTTCATCGACATTTTTTTATTCACTACGAGTGTTTCGCGATAGATCTTGTTTAGGATTCTTGATCGAAGCTATAGCATAGAATCGACGTGTAATGATCTACATAGAGTTACCGATACACCTAATATAATTCGAGTATTCGCTAGCGTTAGAAATAGCTAAATCGGCTAAATCGATAGTTAAATCAAGTTGCGCAAAAGATCGGTTGGCTTTACCATCGAGAGTCACACGATCATTCCATCGAGCGATTTACGAACAAGCCCGAGGCGATCGTGGCAAGTGAGGGAGTTTACCCTTGAGACGTTCCGCACACCTGATCGTCCGTTTACCCGACTAGTACTGTTATAGAGACGCTCGCGAGCGTTAATGCTGATCCAACCGAAAAGGTATATCGTTACGCTTCGAGGCGTGCACTGGCGTTTCTGTCGCGGTTGACAAAGAGGTTTCTGGCTTCTGCTTTTCAACTTTTGATTACGTTTCTGTCGATAACATTTGGCGTGCACTTGCGCGTCAATTGACGACACGAAAATAATTAAGCAGCGCGCAAAATTTCCGGCTGGCAATCTTTAAAGGGAAACGTCGAACCAGAGTTACGTAGAATGAAAAATGAAGAAGGAAAGCGTAGGAAAAATAATCTCGTGAGATTAGACGTGAGATGAGATGGAGTTGAAATTCGTGTTAGTCGATTAGGTTTATAGACTTGTGCATGCCGGGGGTGCAAATAATATCGACATTAATTTCTATTTTATCATTTCGCGAATTGAAGTTTTGTTTAACAATATGTATGTGAACACTGTCTAATAGTTTCATTCTTACTTTGTTTGCAACATTGTATCGTGAGCACACAGTGCGGTAACGAACACGTATGCAAAGTCTCTTTATACAAGATACTTTGCATGTAATTTTTAAATTAATTAAAATTTCTCTCTCTCTCTCTCTCTCTATATATATATATATATATATATATGTTTGTTTGTTTGTGTGTGTGTGTGTGTATTTGCATTTGTATGTGACGAGAGAATTGTAACAGTACCGAATGAGAAAAAGATAAGAGCGGGGAAAAAGAGGAAGATTACAACGTAATGTGAATAATAAAACTTTTAACGAAAGAGACAAAGTAATTGGTCATTCGCCACTGCGTCATACGTGACAATGAGGAAAATTGTGATTGCATACAATGCAAAAAGCAATCGCGACGCACACTGATACTCTTATTCGATATCGGTACAACGAAAGCAAAAGTGGCCCAAGAGTTGTGTCGTTATTTTGGCATTTTTCTCCGTCATTGCCTTACAATCTCATAGCTTTACTCATGAGAAAGAGAATAACAATTTGACTTTGTGTTAGATATTACTATAGCATTGTGAGGATCGGTTACGTGGCTACGAAATAATATTTCGCGGTCTATTCGTTAAATTAAAAATTATAGTATTGTCGGGAAAAATTTCTATTAAAACACGCGGCATAAAATCATAAAATATTGGTTCGTATTGTATTAGCGTATTTTAATTCTGAATCACTATATTACCTCAAGATTCTCGATTGCGGAACCTGCAGGGCGAATCGCGCGGCCCCACATACCTGACGTACAGGATATCGATCGCTTTAAATCTCATTGTAATATCGCATTTCGCTCGACGACGTCGTAGAACGAGCCGTCTCTACGAGTTTTTTTTGCGAAATAAAAAAGGAAACCGCGCGATTTAATTACCAGGCGCATTATCGTAGAATGGGCGGCCCGCGTGCAATCTCCGCTCGAAAGTTCGAGCGGTGATTAGATCGACGACATGCGACGTTAGCTCAAAGGCCCTCAAGAGTGCATTAGCTGCGATATGAGCTCCATGTGCAGCAATGTCCGGAGAATTTCTCTGCACTTGTCTCTACACAGCTTCATTTTTCTTTGACTATTATCGTCTCATTTTTCTAAAATCACTATGGCTCAAAGTAACATTACAATTTATTATTATAAAGACGTTGTCTAGTTTCACAATTATCCGTCTTGTTGGACAAATTACAAAAAAGTTGTCACAATACTCTTTTAAATGCATCAGTTTTATAATCAATCGATAATGCATCACTAGAGTTGCATAAACAGTATATCTCGGAAAAATTACATGAACATTTTTGTCTTCAACTTGTCTTTAACTCAAGCGCAGGTGGAAGCCACATCGGTGCATCAACACGAGTCCTTTCTTCACGCTCAGGTGCGTGCTATGAACGACACGCACGCACGCACTCTCTCGTTCTCTCTCTCTCTCTCTCTCTCTCTCTCTTTAGGAACAGAGGCGTAGACGTTCGTTACTACCTGCCGAGCGAAACTGCCATTAACCGTTTTTCGTTTCTCGTCGTAAGCGAAAGAAGAGCTGTCTCACTGCACCTTGTATTGTAGATACGGCGTTACAGTCTCGCAGGAAAATTGAACAAGCGAGAGGCTCAGACATCCGGACACAGAAAACGAGAGTTTCCATGACAACGTGTGAAATTCTTCGTCATCGAGTTACTATATTTTATCGAAAAATCACATTTTCGAATCACGCGTATGCACTCTCTTTGATAATTTAAATTCCACATCGGATAATTATGATTATGTCGGCCTACTTTTTCTCGAGAAAGGATTGCCATGAAATTCCATGAAAAGTACAATACCGCTTCAAGCGTTGGTAACGTAAATAATTGCGCGATTACCTTAATCACGCGTTACCTAATTTCCGTAAATCCCTGTACTCCGCAGTGTGTGCTGAATCGCATCGACGGATGTATTTCGTGAGGTTCACGAGATAAAAGTGAACTTTCCCGATATACACACATACGTACCGTGCGCGCGCGCGTGCGCGAGATATGTGATAAAACGCGACTATTGAATACGTAATTATCTCGTCTCCGCGAGACCGGATCCGGTCGAACGACGAGACGTATTATTTTCGGACCGAATCGCCCGTTTTACGTCAAACTCCGCAGAACCTCGGTATGGACGGAAGGCAATTCTGATGTGCCCTCTCTCGAGGCTCCTTTCACATTCGGAGCCATTAGAATTCAGCATAAATTAGCACGTCGATGTTCGTCATCCTATACAGATGGCTAACGATCTTCGCAGAATCTATTTCCCATCGGAAATCAATCCTCAAACTAACGTTTGTATTACCACCGGTCACGAGCGCTTGTTTCACCGAGAGTAAGTTATATTTTTTGTCTCAAGTTTGTTTCACGAGAAATTTAAAATTAAAGATTGTAGTCCTCTACAAAGGATTTATTTTCTACAAACTAGCATGTAATGCTAGCATGCTTTCAACAAGCATGTAATCAAAGATTACTATCTCAGTATTCGAAGATATCTATTTCAACATTTTAGAACACTCTTTCTAATGATTCTTGATTCTTTCCATTCGGTTTTTTTTCAATCACGTAAGAAAAAGAAAAGATTTCCTCTATTAAGAATAGAGAAATGAGAGTAATTTTCTCATTTACTTTCCCCATCTCGGCAAAGAAACGGTTTAAAGCACGGTTGTTTCCTCTTTGAACTCCAAAACTTACAATTTCAGCTTCGAGCTCCTCTCCTCCTCCCCCTCCATTATCTCTCTCTCTCCTCTCTTTCTGTATTCCTTTTATTTTACAATACTCTATGTCCTACTTCTTAATATATTCTATTATCGTCATCAATCATCATTTACTGTTTCCTCTAATATCTTATGTCAACCTGGCTTTCCAACGAGATACATTCTCGCGCGAATCTTCTGATTGAGGCGACGCTGAAATACAGTTTAGAATGCGAGTGCGAGATCGCAATTGGAACGACGAGCAGGAGACGAAAACTTGTGATTTTGTCTATCGTTAGCACAATACCATAAATACTTCCCGCTACAACGAGAAATCATACGGAATGTGTATATATCGTCAGTACATTCCACGGTCGAGCGTATTTTTTCGCGAGCGTTGAGGCGCAACGCGGTTGCATTCTCTACGTATATACGTGTTTCGCGTGTGTTTGGATTTTGTCACAGGTCTGGCATCGCGTTAATTATCGACTCTGTGACGTAGGAGAGTATAATGACGACTGGTCGTCAGTTGATTCGTTATCTACCCTCTGTGTGATTTTTTGCTCAAAAAACGAGATTACTTGTATAAAACGAGATACTTCGATTCAGTTTGATAAAATCAATTTCTCTCACTTATTATGAACCTTTTACAATCGATACTGTTTTTTCTGTGCTGATTTGCAGAAATAGAAAAATAAATGGAGAAAGGTATCGCTAGTAAATAATAGTGAGTAAACTTGCGAGAAAAATGATGTAACAATTGAGGCTACAAAAAACTTCCCAATTTCATTTTATCATTACAAGACAGTTGTGTAAAGTATTTCAAGATAATTTCAGCTCACACTTTGTGTAACGGAAATATTCATCACACATTGGCATATCAAAGCGTGCAAGAATTATAGCTTGTGAATTGTGCTTGGTCACCGATGACTCAGCTGCATTATGATACATACACGACATATTTGCGGAAGAAATAGCCTCTTTAAAATATTATCATTATTATCGAGGAAAGAGAGGGACTTGTTTCT